AGTCATTCTAAATATTTGTTTGGCAAATAGTCATGCGTTTTTGATCTACTTTCCATTAGAAATGACATGACCCCACTCTACAACCACAAAATCTCCAAGTTCTATTGTGCCATTCTTTGTAATTGATAATGATTCTTGTAGTCACATTCTAACTCTGACTCTTGTACTTTACTTCTTTCTCGGTTATCTTCTAACTTTGAGTTAAACGCTCTTTGTCTTCAACTTACTTTTGCCGTTGCCGTGGCCTCCGTCGTAACCGTGAGTGAGTCGGTGGTGTCGTCTTCACGTCTCTTCAGTAAGTAAGGTTCAAACTGCTTTAAGACAACAGGCATACGTATTAGGTCACTTGATATTGAATAAAAAGTTGGACATGATGGCTGTTAACGTTACCTCGCCAGAAGAAGCCTTTTCCAATACAGCATTTATTGTATCTCTTGTCTCTATTTTGGTACTCATTCCTCCAATGGGATTGGCGCAAGCGAATACGCCGAGTACACTTAGCGCGCTGATTAGAGTAATAACGAAGCAATGCAGCTTCATTATTGTTGTTTGTATAGTCAGAAGCAGTCCGGGCGTAGAGCGAGTTGTCACAGCAGTGGTAGAAAGGCGAGATTACGTGAACAGTAGCGAGGTTTTTTCACACTGTGTTTGTGTTTGCTGTACAGTATGTAAAATTTTTTTCGGTTTCTCTCTTCTCTAACAGTAGCGTAGTTAAGGGAAGATTATGACAGTAATAAAAATATATTTAGGTCAACAAAAAAAGATGACTTTGTCGCCGCTGACTGATCGTATCGTATGAGAATAACTACCAAAATGGTAAAAAAGGATGTGTTTGAGGGGATATGATGATATATAAAGAATGTGATATAAAGATCTTTTATCCACCATATCTCTGTGTATTTGGAACGGTTTGTGATACAAACAAGCACCGAACATCCAAAAAAGGAATGTTTTGACGGTGGAATAGTCTGTGAAGATAACTGTATTACTACTACATTTTCAGGGGCGTTGAACTGTGCCCCAATAATGTTGCTTTCTGCCAGTAATACTACGACGTATATTCTATATAATTAGACTTGCAGATTTTATAAACATAAATAACCCTCACCCCCCCTTTTTTGATTGAGATCAATCTCAATTACGTAAACAACGTTTCTAATCATAGAATATTTTACAATTCACGTGTCGATTTTATTCAGTATGACATTTTAATTTTTTGGCGTAAAAACGGTTTCAAAATGTTATTGAATGAAAAAGCATTTGATATACACCAAAAGTGTGGTAATCACTTTAAACTCTCCAGCAACTTATTTCGATAGTTGTGATTGTCGGTGAAAATTGATTATCGGTTGAAATGATTGATTGTCAACCGAACCCCACGCAAAAAAAATGCAAATAACGCATACATTTATCATGAATCTGTACATCACAATCAGATATTTGGCATTTAATTTACTCTTTGCGGATAAACGCAGTTGCGAAAATGTTAATGCTTCGTTCGCATTTTCTGCGCAAACGCGGCTGTCTATAATAAAATTAGAACATGAAAATAACGCTGGTCATGCTCGCAACATTCTCATCGTACTTATTTACTATAGAGTAAATCGGCATATCTGATGATATGTAAAAAATCCAATGCTGCAATTTGCGACCAATCAAGAGTGAAAGAAGGGCGCATGTCTTCAGCAAGCAGCCCCGTTTCTCATTATTTTTCCTCAAAACACAATCTATGCATATCTTCATGTGCATTACCCAAATATATTAATGAAACTTTACGTTTAACTAATGATTCAATTTGCTTGCTTGCTGCATAGTATGTGATTAGAATGCATTTATAGCCAATAGTAGAGTTTCACAATAAATCTTACTCAAAGATTGAAAATGTCTGTAATGCTTTGCAGTAAAGTTTTGGAACAATTGGATTTTGCTGTAACTTTTTCGTGTATTGGTGTGCATAAATTCTGGCAAGGTGGTCTGTAAATGTACATTCAATA